GAATCAGCCATCATTATCTTTATCTACCTTCTAGACAGCATTTTTGAAGGAGGTGAAATTTAATATGGTTATATTTCCATCCTCTGTGGCTTCCATCAAACTGAATCACACTATTTCAATGGAAATTCCTGAAACTTTGACCAGGAAGATATTGGTATCACTAGTCATTTTCTAAAAATGGCTCTGTTGTTTCCTCTTTTACTGGTTTATAAAGTATTTCAATCTGAACTCAGGTAGATGAGGAAGTACATGCAATCTTGAAAATATGTATGTTCCCCAACTTGTGACTTTGACACAGTTTATATTTCATGTGAAGAAGAAATCTCAGTTACTTTGCACAGGAGTTAATTTTAAGAAGCATTTGACTAGTATGTGTATATACTGACATGGAACTCATCTGAGATAGATCTTCTATCAGCTCTTACAAGCTTAGAATATTAAAACTTTCTCTTGCTATTCCCCAGATAACTTGATTTTGTTTTTATGTGCCAATAGGCCATATAGTAGGTACTAGAAAGTAATCCTGATTTCAGATAATTTATTAATTTGTTTTTTCCCTTAGTTCAGAAATGTTCCTCATTTCATACTTCTTGGATTATCATATATTAAATACTTAAAATTATATATGAACCATAGTGGCAAAATTGGAGATTATCCAGTACTCTGGCTCACTGGTTTCTCTGAATGATTTACCATAGATCTACCCTTGCAGTTCATTTACTTCCAGGTTATTCAATGGAATTCTATTTTAATAAAAAAAAAAAGCCTCCCTACAGACAAACACTCAAACTACTTCAATGTGATAGTTCTTGGCAGGACTGCACATTGAAACTGCAATTTTAAAAAAGAACAAAGGAGATCTAGGAGTAAATAGGGAAAAACTGAAATTACTGGGCTTTTTTTTAATAGTGGGATGTCTTTGAAACATAAAGGACATGACAATGATTTCTCAAATGTCAACAGATGAAACAGTCCTGAATTGTATACAATAGCAAAAGAAAACTGTTAATATTAAAATTATGAAAAGATGTATTCCAAATGAAAGTGTTTTGACTAGTGGTGTTCTGGGAAATGTTTAAAAACAAAGCTTGGGGAGAAAGAGGAAAAGCCCTGATTCATGAAGTTTGCCAATTTCCATAGTGTAAATATTCCCAACATGATCAATTTCAAGCTGTCAGCATGAAGTCACTGAACACAGAGTCAGGAAGAAATGCGCCCAGTGATTCTCATGAGCCAGTGAAAGTAATCTCCAAATGATATGGTGTGGCTCTGTGCCCCTACCCAAATCTCATCTTGAATTGTAATCCCCATGTGTTGAGAGAGGGAAGTGTTTGGATCATGGGGGTAGTTTCCCCCATGTTTTCTCATGATAGTGAGTGAGTTCTGATGAGATCTGATGGTTTTATAAGTGTTTGATAGTTTGTCTTTCATATGCACTCTCGCCTGCCACCATGTAAGAAATGCTTGCTTCCTCTCCTGCTGTGATTTTACATTTCCTGAGGCCTCCCCAGCCATGCAGAACTGTGAGTCAATTAAACCTATAAATTACTCAGTCGTGGGCAGTCTTTTATAGCAATGTGAAAATGGACTAACATAGTTAATTAGTACAAAGAGTGGGGTACTGCTATAAAGATACAGAAAACGTGGAAGCAACTTTGGAACTCGGTAATGGGCAGAGGTTGGTAGAGTTTGGAGGGCTCAGAAGACAGGAAGATGTGGGAAAATTTGGATCTTCCTAGGATTATTTAATGGTTTTGACCAAAATGCTGATAGTGATATGGACCATGAAGTCCAGGCCGAGGTGGTCTCAGGTGGAGATGAGGAACTTCTTGGGAAGTGGAGCAAAGGCCACTCTTGCTATGCCTTAGCAAAGGGACTGGTGGAATTTTGCCCCTGCCCTACGGATCTGTGGAACTTTGAACTTGAGAGAGATGATCTGAAATAGGAACTTAGGTTTTAAAGGGAAGCAGAGCATAAACGTTTGGAAAATTTGCAGCCTGGTGATGCAATAGAAAAGAAAAACTCATTTTCTGAGAATAAATTCAACCTGCTGCAGAAATTTGCATAAGTAATGAGAAGCTGAATGTTAATCACCAAGACAATGGGGAAAATATCTCCAGGGCATGTCAGAGATCTTGGTGGCAGCCCCCACAATCACAGGCCCAGAGACCTAGGAGGGAAAAATGGTTTCTTGGGCCTGGTCCAGGGCCACTCTGCTCTTTGCAGACTCAGGACTTGGTGCCCTGTGTCCCAGCTGCTCCAGCTCCAGCTGTGGCTAAAAGGGACCCCAAAGTACAGCTTAGGCAGTTGCTTCAGAGGGTGCAAGCCCCAAGCCTTGGTGGCTTCTATGTGGTATTGGGCCTGCGTGTGCACAGAAGTCAAGAATTGAGGTTTGGGAATCTCCACCTACATTTCAGACAATGTATAGCAATGCCTGGTTGTCCAGGCAGAAGTCTGCTGCAGGGGTAGGGCCCTCATGGAGAACATTTGCTAGGGCAATGTAGAAGGGAAATGTGGGGTCAGAGCCCCCACACAGAGTCTCCATTGGTCACTGCCTAGTGAAGTTGTGAGAAGATGTCACCATCCTTCAGACCCCAAAATGGTAGATCCACTAGCAGCTTGCACTGTGTGCCTGGAAAAGTCACAGGCATTCAATATCAGCCTGTGAAGGAGCTGCCTAAGGCTGTGGAAGCCCATCCCTTGCATCAGCATGCCCTGGATTTGAGACATGGAGTCAAAAAACATTATTTTGGAGCTTTAAGATTTAATGACTGCCCTACTGGATTTCGGACTTGTATGGGGCCTGTAGGCCCTTTGTTTTGGCCAATTTCTACCATTAGGAATGGAAGCATTTATCCAATGTCTGTATCCCCGTTACATCTTGAAAGTAACTAACTTGCTTTTGATTTTATGGGTTCACAGGGAGAAGGGACTTGCCTTGTCTCAGATGAGACTTTGGACTGTGGACTTTTGAGTTAATGCTGAAATGAGTTAAGACTTTGGGGGACTGTTGGGAAGGCATGATTGGTTTTGAAATGTGAAAAGACATGAGATTTGGGAAGGGCCAGGGACAGAATGATATTGTTTGGCTCTGTGTCCCCACCCAAATCTCATCTCAAATTGTAATCCCCATATGTCAAGAGAAGGACCAGTAATACTCACATGTAGAGAGAGGGAAGTGATTAGATTATGGGGGTGGTTCCCCCATGCTGTTCTCATGATAGTGAGTTCTCATCAGATCTGACGGTTTTATACATGTTTGACAGTTCCTCCTTCATATGCTGTCTCTCCTGTCACCATATAGGATACGCCTGCTTCCCCTTCTGCCATGATTTTAAGTTTCCTGAGGCCTCTCCAGCCATGTGGAACTGTGACTCAATTAAACCTCTTTTTTTTTTTCTTTTTAACAAATTATCCAGTCTTGTGCAGGTTTTTACAGCAGTGCTAAACAGCCTAACACACCAGAAAACCACTGGGATAATCTTTACAGCATTTTAAAAAGTGGTTACTAGGCTAGATAAGATCTAATTGGTAAAGGTAAAAGGTGTCTTGTGCCTAGTGGTACGTACTTTCACATTTAAAGTAACGAATGAGGCAATGTGGTAAAGTTGAAAATGATTGAGATCATAAAATCAAAAACTCACAGATTTGAATCCCAGCATCGTAACCTAGTGTGTGATTTTAACAAAATTACCTACTTTATCTGTCTTATTTCATTTATTTATTTTTAATCGACAAAAACTGTATATATTTATGGTGTGCAACATGAAATATGTATACATTATGGAATGGCTACATCAAACTAATTCACATATGTATTACCTCAAATATTATTTGTGTTAAGAACTCTTAAAATCTCTCTTAGCAATTCTCAAGTATAGAATACATTGTTATTACCTATTGTCACCATGTTATACGATAGAGCTCTTGAACTTATTCCTCTTATCCAACTCATATTTTTGTGATCTATGACCAACTGTCATTCTCCAGCCCCTGGTAACCACCATTCTATCCTGTTTCTTTGAGTTTAATCCTTTTTGATTCCAAATATTAAGGCTTCAATTATCCGTCTGTAAAATACTGCAAGATTGGAACTATTTAGCAAACATCTTAAAATGATTAAAAGACACAATAAAGCCAATAAACATGAATGTATCTGGTATATAAATAGGAATTATTATTTTTCTTCCAGCTTCTATACCACTTGTTTCCTTCTAGCTGTCCTTACTCAATAGAAAATATAAATTGAAGTCAGAATATGAATTATAATTAGCAAGGGAATGATATGGCTCTAGTTGTTAATATACCTACATAGCTACTTGAAAATTACTCTTATATAGGAGGGAGAGTTCACGAGAAATGCAGGCACCAAAGGAGGAATTCAGTACCAAAATTCATTTTCCTTTCCATCTTTGACAAAATTTAAAAAGCTATGGGCAATGACACATGGATAATCTTCATGACCCGATTTTGTTACTTATTATTGTGTAGCCTCTATGATTCAGGAAAAGGAAGTCAAAGAATGTGGAAGGGGTATTGAGTGGACCAACCTATGGTATTTGCCACAAAAATACAATTCTGTAAAAGGTGGGAATGATGTGTCATGGGAATTCATGAAAGAAACTAACTTTTGGCTATAATAAACAGGGGTGATTTAAAAACCTGACATTAAAAATATGTCGGCAGTGTTTTAATGAATGAAGATGGTCAGATTTAGAACATTGTGGGTGAATCAAAAAAAAAAAAAAATATATATATATATAAACTGATACAGAAGTAGAAAAGATTAATTTTTAATTAAAAAGTAAGTCGCTTAACATATTCCAAATGCAAAGTAAGCTTAGGGTAGCATCAGGAAGTGTACTAGCTTGGTACTAGGTTAGCAAATGAGCCTATGGATCTGTCTTTTATTTCCTATATAATGACCATATTTGAAGATGCATACACTGTATTAACTGCTTTATTTATGTTTTATTTAAATCCCAAATGATACTAAAAAGAAAGCATCATGCCATTTGTATAGAAGAAGGAACTGATGACCAGTTTACATTGATGATCTAAGGTTATACAATTTATCACTCAAGAAACATTGAAAGTTTTTGACAAGGGAAGTAACATGATGGAAAATGTAAGTTCCTGCAGTTATTTGACATTCTCAAATTAAAATTCTTGCCTTACTTTACACTGAAGGCAAATTTAGAAGCTATTGATTACTATAGATGCCAATGGTTTATTCTTCATATAGCATATGGTAATGTCTTAGTAACATTCCTTCTAAAAACAAGAGTGACACCCAGCCCCCAGCATTTCACTCACCTCCCTCGTTGCAGCATATCAGTGAAGGGGCTTTTGCCTTTTCTGGTATATAAAACGAAAGTTATCTAGGCAATTATTAAATGCAAGTTTCCATTGAGGGATAAGTTAATCCATCTACTCTCATGAAATGCACTAGTTTAGATTCATTTTTCAGTTTCATGTGCAGAGAAGTGAACCTTGAGCAAATTTGAAACATGACAGGAAAATGTGATTAAGGAAAGAACTAAGTTTCCAAACACAATTCTATGCAAGAAGAGGGGCTTAATTGAGTGGCTATGGAAATACCACTCTCTTCTGAGTGTTCTTACTGAAATCTTCAGTCACCTCCAAATTGATAAATGCACAAAACAATCTTCAGCCCTCATCCTGTCTTATCATTTGGCAGCATTTGACCATGACTTACAGAAACTATTTCTGGAAATATTTTTTATTAGTTTCTATAGCAATGCTCTCCTGACTTTTTTTTTTTTTTACATTTTAAGCATTGTTTCTATATTTTATAGAATTTATTAGCTTGTTTGTTTTTTGTTTTGGTAGTACTTGGAAGTCAACAGGAAGTGGCAAAAAGCAAATGGGTAAAAGAGTGAAAAATCAAATATTCTTAACCTGATGTAAACATTCTTTACAATCTGGCCCCATGTGCATTTCCAACTTTACCTCTAGACCAGATTAATTTACCATTTTGATTTTCTCAGCTCAGAAGTACTTAACAATCATATTCTCGATAAAAGCTACCTAGAGTGTTTGCAGAAATTGCTAGTTAATTTACTGGGATTCTACAGCTGTTGTTTATATAAATTTATAATTGAACTTACTACATGTATGTATAGTTTATGTCTACAAAATATCTCCCCCATCCTCAGTCTGAATGAGCAAAGAACATGCCTTTAATCCTTCTGTACGTAGTGACTAGTGACTAAAATAAGGTTAACAGAATCAGCAAATGCATGTTTAACTAGAAAATGAAAGTTCAATGAACTAATACTACCTGATCTTCTTATTAGTAATACCATCTTGGTCAAGTCTCTAAACTTTTTTGTGTTTTCGTTTACTTACCTGAAAAATGGATATAATAATTATGCCCCCCCCTTTAAAATCTCATAATATTTTGGTATCAAAATAACAATATTGGTTACAAAGGTATTTATAAATGTAAGGTATTATGTGTAGAAAAATAGACCAATTTGAATGTTAGGAGCTTATAGTTTTACTAAAGTTTCAGATAGCCACACATGCATGTGTGAGTGCACACACAAGATATCCCACAAATAAAATGAAATGTTGCTGGATTTCCTGTCTTTATTAATTCTTATATGTATCAATGTGTGGAAAAATTATCAACTTTGCTGATTGGGTACCCCCATACTTGAATGCTATCATGGGGAGACAGTTATTCCATTTGACAATGTGTTTTAAATCATATTAACCTACATCATTATTGTTATCTTATATTTTAAATTCTTGAAAGATGATAAGTATATCTCTGTATAGTGTGCAGTATATCATTATACAAAAACAGTCAATACCAAGTGTCTTTGACAGTGAGAATAACTTTCTGAATGGTAATAGACATGATCAAAAGCAATACAAAGTTGATATTCAATTAGAAAAGTCAGGCAACAGTTCTTACCATCCCCACTGCAAATTCCTACACAGAATGGTATGCATTTTAGCTAGCAAAACATTATTTACCAGTCCTTGAAACCGTACCAGTCGGGAATACTACACTTGTTGCATTACTGAGTGCTCTGACATTTTGTTGTCGTTTTGAATATGAACTAACCAACACTTTCGGCAATACTGCAAACTTAAATTTTACAAATGAGACACATAGATTAAATGTGACTTTGCTGCTGTTGTGAGCAATCTTGTAGATGCCTTTACTCCAAGTGACATAAAGAAAGTTTAAATTTAAAAAGTTAAAGTAGACAAATGGTAAGACTACTGAGATGATGTAACTGTATGGCAAAGTTTTCATCATTTATTGGTTTGCCGATGCCACCTCAGTACTATTGTTAATGTTATTGACGAAGTTATGCTATATAAAGCACAGCTCTATCAAATTCAAGAGAGTTAGTAGAGAAATATTTTTCATCAAAGATGGAATTGACAAGTACAAATTCTGTGGAAACTGATAACCTTCAGAAATGGCACTCTACAATTTTAGGTTTTAAGAAAAACAAGAGTTATTGTAATTTATCCTTGGCTGTTTTAATGAATTATACAAACAGTTTAACTTTGGGGATTCTGCACATACTATTTGCATCTTGTTGAAGAAGCTCTCAGCAAAGAGACTTTGGCTAAGATGTAAAGCAGCCCTCTGAATGAATCATACCACCTGCAAAGAGCTGTACTAAATACATTCATATACATGACAAAAGCTTCAAGTTTTTTCTAGCATTTACATTATCGATACAAATCAACATACAGACCAGAGAGTTTTAAACATAACAGATGCACAAGGGAATGGGCATAAAGGAAGGGTGACAATGGAGCAGCTTCAGGCCCACTGTTTGGCACAGCAGGGTTGCATATTTCCTATGTCAATTGAAGAACCTAAAACATACCTCTATTTAAGCCATCCTGCCAAGTACTGCACCAAGAAAGCTACTTGCAAAGTGAGGCTTCTCCAGCAGCAGAAAAATCTGGGGAGCAGTAGGAATGGTGGAAGATGATGGCTCAAACCTAAATGTCATCCTAGATGTGCACCTGATCCACAAGAGACGTGCAGTCCTGCCATGCCAAACAGTAGGCAAACAGGCTCCTCCACTGCCCCTCTCTTCTCAGAACCCTGTCCTCTATTTCCTTAGCCCTGCTTCTCTCAAATTATGCTTTCCCCTGTTTACCCATCTACAGGCATAGCTTATCAAGTCTACAGGCCAAACCCTTGTCCAATGGGAAAGAAGCCTAGAATGCAAAATTTACGAAGGCACTCACTCAGGGTTGGGCAAGTGCTTCTTTAACTTTGCACCCTACACCCCTCATTTGTTCACCAGAGTCCCAGGTGTTGGAGGTAGAGCATGGTATACCCGTGTAACTTGGAATCTACTCCTTAAGCTCTGCAGGAATTTGACCAACCTCAACAACTAGCACCTTATTGCTGGTTTAATAAACATATATTGCATACTCGTTCTCCTCCGCCTTCAGCTTTGGCCTACAATTCTAGGAAACAGAAAAAATATCCTGCAATATCCTGTTACATACAGAACAACAGAGAGACTTTACTCCCAGTTTTTCACTGTGAAACACAGTTCAGTGACTTATCTCATGTGCACACTGTTTTACTTCATTTAAATTATCTCTGCATGTTTAGTATCAGCAATAAGATTATCAGCAATAATCTATCAGTAATTTGGGGGGAGGCATTGGATACTGCCAAGGTTCTATTTAAAATAATATACAATAAATAATTGTATATTATTTTATTTTAAATAGAACCTTTAATTTTAAATAGAACCTAAATAATAATGTATTTAAATAGAACGTAAATAATGTATTTAAATAATGTATTTAAATAATGTATTTAAATAGAACCTAAATAATAATGTATTTAATATACAATAAATATATTTTATTATTTATTAAAATAATAAAATAATACAATAAGATTTTTTTTTTTTTGCTTAACTGTGGAATATGTTACATGTTTATGCTGGTTGTTTCATCTTTTGACTTATTTCTAGAGGGCAGTTTTATTTTTCATCTAGTTTGTATGTTTGAATATTCTGGGATCCTGGACGAATACTAGCAAATTACCTCATGTTAACTAAATTCTCAGTTTTGTTTCCTCTCTTGCCTTTTTTTTAAAAAAGTCTTTGTATATCATCATTATGCTATTCCTTTGTTACAAATAATTTTTCTGCTTATTTTCCACATTCATACCTATGCTGAAATTCAGCAAGTTGTATAAAGAATTAAAATTGGAATATGTGAATTATTTATTAATGAACAAACTTTACAACTGACCAGTATCTCCATCATGCCAATATATAAGGTTATAAAGTTTTAAAATGCATATAAGATAAAAGAATATTAGCTAATAGGAGCAAAAATATTTTCATATATTATAAATTTCCCAAAGTGAGACTCAATATTAATTAGTTTTTCAACCAAAAATTTATTATTACTGTTGACAACCTACGATTTAAGTACAATGAGAAAAAAGTTAAATAGTAAATGCAAACAATTTAACTCTTAAAATTATTGCACCTGTTTTCAAGGTTATTACAATGCTATATATAAATTTAATTCTTAATTTTAATATTCTGCTTGTTTATACTTCTGTGTAGATGTGTGAATTTCTTTTGGAGGAATAGAAACACTTTAACCCAACTTCAAAAGATAATAATAATGAACAAGTCCAAATCCTAAAACATGATGATCAAAGATAAAATAACAGATATGACTAAAGATTCCAATAACTTGGTTTCCTGGAATCATGACCCATTTTAACATGATTTATGCCCAAATATGTATGTCATCAAGATGTCAAGAAATATGAAACAAGATAGTTAAATACCATCAAAGATGTAATTAGTCATTTGGATATATGCTAAAAAGTTTTAGAATAATTATTCAATAGTACTTCATAAAATATCTTCACATTCTTTAAATTTAAAAGGTAAATTTTACTAAATTTGAGAGTTGGTATGCTCTCAAATACTTGAAAGTATACAATATTAGTATACTTGATTAAAACCAATTTAATAAATTTATTATAATTAGCATTACCAGTTTTCTTTCTTAATTGGGAAGGAATGAACATAAAATAAAGTGGCTAAGATTTACAGATTCACGTAACAATGGTATTTATAGCCTTATTTATGTTTTGTAAAGTTCTGCATGACTATTAACAGGTAAATCAAATTAAAATTTATCTTGAGTGGTACTAAATATGATTAAATCAAAAGTCAGTCAGTAAGCATTCTTGAATATGTCAAATCAACTAATTGTCTTTCAATTAGTTGAAACTGAAGGTAATAATTGACTTTTCAAACTGATTTAGACAACAAATAATAGAATTCCCAATGAATAAACCAACTCTTTGGTAATATTTGATATTTCATACCAGTTGTGCTTTATTCAAGATTTTACTTCTACCTAAAAATACTAAAGAATGAATGATGTATATTTTTGGTGCACAGAGATTGTTTAAATTAAATTATATGAAATATATTGTTTAGATTCTAAGATCCATAAGCTTTCTGCATTGTTTTTTAATTGAAAGCCCCTGTAAAGAATTCTAGAAACCCGTAAGTTACATTTTTGTTTGAATCTTTTATTTTCCAAAGTATTTCCAAGTACCTTACCTGCATTGATACTCATGTCTACTCTATGAAATAGAAAAGGTCAGCGTCATCTGTTTGTTTTTGTCTTCTCATGAGAAACTGAGCCTATCTTACATATCCAGTCTTCATCTTATGATACCCTACTTTGAATCCCACAAAGCATAGAATGTAGCATGCCATTAGCTTATTTTATATTAAAATGTTCGTAATGTTGATATCGTGATGTCCCTTACTTTCTAGATATATTTCCAACATCCCTCAAATCCCAAAATATTAGCGATTGACTTTTTAGTTATTTGATAACACTGTTCCTGCTCCCCTGTGTCGGGGATGATAGTGCCACAAGGAGCGAAACCACTGTCCCAAATGTCATAGTTAAATTTAATTCCAATTATCTAATTTATTCTCTAATCAAATATCTAATAGATAGTAATAAACGTTAATTACAAAAGGAACAAGCCAAATGTTCTCATTTAGTTTACATTTTATAATGCAGCTATTACAGCTGATCTTCATCTCCCCCCAAAAAAGACTTTTTTTTTTTCTTTTCTTGACTTCTAAACCTGATTATTTTATTTCAAAAGTGGTTAGTGGTCAGAGAGGGGAAAAGAAAGGTAACAATTGTTTCAGTAGATCAGCCAAGGTATATTATGGCTGGGAAAATTTCCGGAGAATAGAAAAGAAATAATTTGTTTCACTCTTTTCTTTTTTAAGGAGGAGTTTAGGGGAGAATGAATTGGACCGTCAGCCTTTCATGAACTTCTCAAAAGAACAGGAACATGAGGAGGCAAAATGGTGATGCAAACGCACAATTCAGTCTACCACAATACGGTAAGCATTCCCAGCTTTAAACCATGAAGAAAAATAAATTGACAATTAGTAGGGGGGGAGGAAAAAAAGTGGTAAATCAAAGAACATAATGCAAAATGGACTCTGGAGGGATGAAAGTCCATATGGGTCCTGCTTCCAGGAAAGGCCAGTGCCACTGATCATTGGTTCACTAATGGCCAATAGTGTTTCAAGGTGAAAGGAAGGCTGGGTCCCGGAGCCTGTAGGAAGAAAACAGGGTGGAGACTTGGAAATGGTGTTAAGAGAACATTTGGGCAAGTGAACATAAATCAAAGAAAAAATGAATTAAGAAAAATGCTTATAGAAAATGAAAGGTAGACATAAAATACTAAATCAGATTAAAAACCTGCAGATTTTATATTTAGCCATCTTTTCAATTATAGTAATGATTTTGAAAATTTAATGTTTTCTTTTATATGATTTGGCAGGGTGATAATTACCCTCAGTGAGATGACAGACTGGTTTTAACTCTTACGTCTCCATGTTTCAGAGTTTATTTGAGGCAAAGTCTGATTTTTAAGAACAGCTACTGCTTATTTTGCTCAGGTTGCTTACTGCCCAGTGTGATGGGACCATTCATAGCTTATCCACGTGATGCACAACCTGCACAACCCATACGTGTTACCTCCAATTATATGTGTACACAAGAAATGAAACAACATAATAAATGTTACTCTTGGGAACAGCAATGGATTAGCAGCCCTAATATCTTCATTCAGGTCACAGATCTGCTCGCTCCTAGCTGGATAATATTATTCATATCAATTAGCCTCTCTGAATCCAGAGTGCTTGTTAGGGAAATGGTGACAATAATATTTACCTTCCCAATCTTACACAGTTTTCTGGGTTAGTCAAAGAATATTTTGTAAAATTTTAAGTTTTATATAAATGCACATTATTATTTAGAAGATTAATGCAACCATAGGATAGTCACTTGTCACATATATGGATTTTAATATTTTTAAGAGACACCGGCCGGGCGCGGTGGCTCAAGCCTGTAATCCCAGCTCTTTGGGAGGCCGAGACGGGCGGATCACAAGGTCAGGAGATCGAGACCATCCTGGCTAACCCGGTGAAACCCTGTCTCTACTAAAAAACACAAAAAAATAGCTGGGTGAGGTGGCAGGCGCCTGTAGTCCCAGCTACTCGGGAGGCGGAGGCAGGAGAATGGTGTAAACCCGGGAGGCAGAGCTTGCAGTGAGCTGAGGTCCGGCCACTGCACTCCAGCCTGGGCGACAGAGCGAGACTCCGTCTCAAAAAAAAAAAAAAAAAAAAGAGAGACAGCATGACATATGTCATGTAGGCTACTGTCACAAAGCTAAAAGTATATATTTAATAAATGATTTTTAAATTAAATGGTTGACAGTAATGTACTGTCTATTGCAAATGTTGTAAGTTTATAGTAATTTATAATTCTACACATTAGATTTAGAAAATCTCAATGGTACCCATTCTCCTTAGTATTTTTTCCAAGTACACTGATTCTCAATTATGATGGAGAATATCAACAGTTACTGATTCAAGACCCGCTTGCCCCTGCAAAGTCTACTTTGTAGCTCATCTTCCTTTTCAAGACCTCTAGATGTTGGAACACTTTAGGAATACATCTTCAGCCCTCTTCCCTTCTTTATGCATATCTCCACTCAGGTTTTCTCAACGGGTCCCATATATATATTTTTTGAGACATGGTCTCATGCTTTCACCCAGGCTGGGGTGCAGTGGCACAGTCACAGCTCGCTGCAGCTTCCACCTCCCAGGATCAAGTTATTCTCCCACCTCAGCCTCCCTAGTAGCTGGGACTACAGGCATCAAGTGTGTACTGCTATGCCCAGCCAAGGCTGGTCTCGAACTCCTGAGCTCTAGTGACCCATCCCCCTCAGTCTCCCAAAGTGCTGGGATTACAGGTTTAAAAAAAAAAAAAAAAAACAGGCCAGGCACGGTGAGATTACACCTGCAATCTCAGCACTTTTGGGAGGCCGATATGGGTGGATCACAAGGTCAAGAGATGGAGACCATCCTGGCTAACATGGTGAAACCCTGTCTCTACTAAAAATACAAAAATTAGCTGGGCATGGCGGTGTGCCTGTATTCCAGCTACTCGGGAGGCTGAGGCAGGAGAATCACTTGAACCCGGGAGGCAGAGGTTGCAGTGAGCCAAGATCGCGCCACAGCACTCCAGTCTGGCGACAGGGAGAGACTCTGTCTCCAAAATAAAATTAAAAAAAAAAAAGCTAACATATGCAAAAGTCTCCCAGATATTTATCCAGCCCTGAATCCCCTATGATTTCTTACTTAGATATCAAAGAGCTATAAATCTCTCCTTGTATGTCTACTTAATGTTTCAAAATAGATATCTACTAAATTAACTTTTTGATGTTCCATCTAAACTTATTCCTCCTCAAATCTTTCCTATTATAGTCCTACTATACCCTTGGTTGCTCAGACCAAAAATTTGGGGGTCTTACCTATGTCCAACCCATCAGCAAATCCTATGTGTCCTACTCCAATACATATCCCTAATGATGCCCTTTAAAATGCTACGTGATTGGATCCCTGGCCAGTATTTCAAGCTTGTTTACATAAAACAGGCCTTATTACTTATCACTCTTCATCGCACATTATCCCTCCTAGAAATTATATTTCTCTGTTAATTTATGTTTCTCTCTCTATTAGGAAAATATTTTTCTCAGTTTTATTCTTAAGTCAATATAGTGAACTGGAATAGTGCCTAGCACAATTATGGTAAGCACTCAATAAACCTTGTGAATGAATGAATGAGTTGATAGCCGTAATATGAATCCCTGAATGTAACAGGCCTAGAATTGATATGAATGAGATTTACAGCTGCACATGACCATCAGTGTCCTGGACTGGGACATGTGTATAGGTATGTTTTCATATGCACATTATTTCTTTACAAAATACATTCTTGGCATTACTTTTGACTTCAGAGTCAAAAATGTCAAATTATTTCAAATAAATAATAAAATTCTGTTCTCAACTCAAGATAATTCTATAAGTATGAACACTCCCAAAACAAGGCAAAAGAAACTGTTTTTGAGTCTATTTTGAATTTTTCATGTTTCCAGCCACCCTCGCTAGCTTCTGAATTTCTACACTGATGAACAGATTTTGTGTCTTTCTTCCCATAACTAAAAATGATGTTCAGACTTGATAATAGTGATTATAAGAAGTATTATTATGCCAATTATTTCAAATTGTGCAATAGTCAAAGCACATAAAAATATGTCATGGCAATAAATCTGTCTTCCTACTCTTTGTAATGTCTTATTTGCCCTAACAACCTTTCAGACAACAGCTCTAATAAATGGACTCTCAAGCGTGATTTGCATCTCTCCCATCACAAGAGTAGTGTCTGTTTCAGAACTTACAGTTGTGTATGGTATATTTAAACGATCCCAAATAATCGTCCTCAGAGCTGTCCTGACCTCAGTGATAATGAGTTTTACAGCCCTTTATATTGTAGTTTGCCTGGGCCTGAAATATATTAATTACCAGACATATATGAAATGTGCGGTTGTAAAATCCCTGACTTCTCTCTCCTGAATCTAATAATCACTAAAATATGTATTGTTGCTTTCATGTCACATTTACCTGGTGCTTGTTTCCCCTTCTATATTCTGTATGTTGTTTGATGGTTCTTTCTCCAGTCTCTCATGCCAGAAGAGACATTCCTTAAGGCCTGGCTCTCCTTCATTTCATATATCCAGTTGGTTACTTTATCTTCTCAATTCATCATACAAAATGGTTCTGGGATTTATGCTCTTTTCATTAGTACCATGGCTGCCTTTAAAAACTAACCCATTTTAGTCTCACAGAGGTGCACTCACCTGGCTTCTAACACTGCCACCACTTTCCCATAAAATCAGAGAGGAATTAGCTTAGAATCATGTCACAAAGCCTTCTCCCTAAAAGCAAAATGGTTGTCTTGTTGCTATATACCCAACGACAGAGGTACCATTTGAGATAGGAGATTCTACAGAAAGAGTGTAAGTTGTGATACCAGACAGACAGGCAGGGTTTTAGATCCCATTTTAGGGGCATACCACCACCTCTATCAGTGGTGTAGTATTGGATAAGTTTGCCTCTCTGGAACTTAGTTTAACTGTGTTTTACTTTGATAATAATTCATATTTCATAGGATTGTTGTGAAGACTAAATAAGATCATGTGTATTAAAAAATATTTGCTGTAATGTATTGAACGCTCACTAGAGGATAATTTCCTTCTTGCATTCTCCTACCACTTCTAGGCACCATCAATGGTACCAGAACCTGTCGGCAGAAACTCTGCCTGCTTTCCTAGTTCTCCTGTCCTGCCATCATTTGGCGACCAAGGATATCTTTATTTCTCAAACAGTATTAGAGAACCTGTGTGAGACCATATTCTGTCTCAGGGAACCTGTTTGATCAATGCTTCTGCAAATCTTCTTTCTATAATAGCTGGAAACTGTTTCTCTTCATGCCATTTTCTTGCTCATACATCAGTGATTGATTTCCCCTAGGTTACAAGCAAAAATAAATATTTCATAGCTTTTTCTACTCTACCCTTGCATATTTTTATGAAATCAGCTCTGCTAGTCATTCTTTTTGCCTGCTTGGCTTTCTCATAAAGTCCATGTTCTTTTAATCCTCGGTACTTTCCACAGCCAGCATCTCCAATTAGAATGCTTTTCCCTGCTTAAATGTGCTGTCAACGCCCATTATTCTCAGATCAAGTCCTCTACAAAGCATTGCCAATCTTTGCTTTATCTCAGAAAGTAGGTGTTTTCCAGCTTAGTGTTCCTATCCCTGCAGTGCACTTTGATACATCTCTTTAAGCCTGTATCTTGCCATATTGGTACTATTTGTCTCACCCACTGTCCTGTAAATTCCTTGAATAGATAACAGTACCACAGCATCTAGAATGTACTTGAAAGTCCACAAGTAGTAGATAATGGAAGGTGTTGCTATAATTGTTACT